CCAAATTGTGTGGAGCAGCCTGCCATGATCATTGTGTGTGAACGCAAACCGAGCAAGAAGGAAGGACGTGTTGCTCTCATCACACAGCTTTAGATCAGGAGTCAGATGAAGCTCAGTGTTCAAACTCAGAAAATGCTGAAGCGACCGTCAGGAAGCCCCATTGTTGGCGGTGTCCCTCCTTGCCACCGCTTACTGCATTGCCATGCTTGTGTTACAGTGTGCATTCTTACCGCCCTCGCAATAAGGAACTCCGCCGTGTAATGTTGTCATGTTTTTCTCATTTAGGAAGTTCAGTTTCTTATGTGCTGTCAGCCTGCTCATTCTTTCTCGATCATAGATGATATTTATCAGATCTCCAGGGTTTCATCAGTCCACGTTACACTCTTGACCATATCTCCCAACCTCAACGGCCTTTCCTCTTGCTGGTGGGATTTTGCGCATTCTTCGGCTTATGCGACCGTGTCTCTCATCCCGTATCATAAGTCAGGACGCTTACCTGCCGCTGTGCGGCAAACTCTTATGGGGGCAGATCACGTGAAAGCGTCATGCTCTCTGTATCTTGCCTTTATTGTATTCTCATTTAATTTTGCTATGTAAGCTCTTTTCATTATATTGTTCTGTGTCCACAGGTTTCAGACTCTGTGTCTCATTTCTGTCAGGGCCAGAAGGAAGGCCATATGTCTGCCGTTCCATGTTCCACCTGGACTTACGACCGCATTCATCCCACACGCCGCAGACACATTCGCGTTTCGAAAACAGCATTTTTATCCCCTTCCTGCCTCCATCCTAAACCCACCCCCTGCGCCTTGCCTTGCCTTTGACGCCCGTGGAATCTAGACGCATTTAGCGTCTCCCAGTACTTTCCTCGCACCTGGCTTGGAGCTCCCGGAACTGGGCAGTGGGTTGTCCCTCCACCCGAAGCACCCACCCACTGCCCTTGCCGCTGCTGGCGGGTTCCTGGGGACCACCTCCGTGGTCGCCCCCGCTGCCCCCCCCAGGACCCCGCTGTATCGGGCCTGAAGCTCTGTGGTCTACCAACACCGTCACTTGTTTATTCCTAAAGGCGCTTCGAGCCTGGCTGAGTGGCTCAGTGGACTGAGTGCTTGCCTGCAAAGTGGGGAGATCACTGGTTCGATTCCCAGTCGGGGCACTTGGCTGGGTTGTGGGCCAGGTCCCTGGTAGGGGGTGCATGAGAGGCAACCACACGTCGATGTTTCTCTCTCTCTTTCTCCCTCTTGTCCCCTCTCTCTAAAACAAAAACAAAACCAAAACCAAACCAAAACACTAAACTTTGAGCCCTCCCTGATCAACCGGCCCCATAGTGTATCTTAGCCTCGTTCCTTCCGCCCCCGCACTTCCTGAAGTGAGCTCCTGCTCTGACTCTCGCTCCGCGTCTTCCGTGGGAAGACCTCCTGGGCGGCGCTGTCAGCTTCAGAAGATGCCACATCGGGACACCTGTACGGTCAGGTTGTTCTTACTATTATCATTTTATTTTCCTTTTTTTTGTTGTTGTTGACAGATTTTATTTCTTTAGTTTTAGAGAAAGGGGAAGGGAAGGCCAAAGAGAGGGAGATAAACATTAATGTGTGGTTGCTTTTCATGCGCCCCCTACTGGGGACAGGGCCCACGACCCAGGCATGTGCCCTGACTGGGTATGGAACCGGTGACCCTTTGGTTCACAGGCCTGTATTCAATCCACTGAGGTACACCAGCCAGGGCTTGTTTCTTCATTTTTAGAGGGAGGGGAAGGGAGAGAGAGAAACATTGATGGGTTGCATCTCACATGCTCCCCAACTGGGGACCCCACCTGCAACCCTGACCTGGAATCGAACCAGTGACCTTTCAGTTTGCCAGGCAACGCTCGACCCACTGAGCCACGCTAGTGAGGGCTATTAATTTTTTTTTCTATTCTTTATTAACATTTGATTCGCATGCCACACAATTTGCCAGTTCGACGTTGCTTAGTAGTCACGGGGTCGTACACAGGCCACCGCGATCTAGCTCGCTGTTGTCAGGGCCGCGTTTGATGGCCTGGTTACCGCGGAGACCGCCCGCGAAGAGTCGCTGTGCTTGCACTAGCGTTTACTGAGCCCCGGGAGCCGCAGCCCGCACGGGGCACCAGACGCATCAGAAAGGCGGCAGGACGGGCGTTCTAAGCGGTCCTGGGTGAGCTCGGAGAGCACGCAGCCCCAGTGGGGTGAGGGAGCTGAAGTCGGGCCCCTCGGACAGCGGTGCTGGGGAAGCGGGGCTCCCACGGGGCGGGCTTCGTCAGTGGGGTCCCAGGAAGGCCAGCGGGGGCCGCACGCCTTCGTGGGTCCTCTCTGCCCCACTGCGCATGCCCCCCCACCCCCCCCACCCCCACCCCCAGCCTCGCGCACGGCGGCCCTGGGTTTCTCGGGAACAGCCTGGCAGACGCGCTCCGGAAACTGAAGCCCAGGTGAGAGCGGAGGGGAGGAAACCGGTGTTTGCTCAGCTTGCACCCGACGCCAGGCCGCGGCCTGGGCTCCGCCGGGTTATCTTGTTTAATTCTCTCGGCCGCCCGGGAGGTGGGTGTTTTATAGCACAGCAAACAAGTCTGCAGAGATTAAGTGATTTACCCGACGTGGCACAGCAGGGGTTTTGTGTGCCCGGGAATTAAGTCTAAATACCGGTTCTCAGGAAGGTGGCCAGGTTCTCCCTGCTCCCCCGCCCCGCACCACCCCTGCTCCCGGGCACCCTCCTCCCTCCCGCCCTCACGGCCCCCTTCGGCCCCTCTTCCTCCTGGACTCGGCCTGAACCAAGGCTGGCCACAAGGACGGTCCCTGACACGGGGCCAGGTGAGCTGCCCCCAGCCCCGACGGGGTATGGATGGTGGTCACGACCTGCGCGCTCACCGGAGGTGCGGCCCGCACTGCGAAGTCCTGGGGAAGGCCCGCGGGAACCAGGCTTCCTGGGTGCGGCACCCAGGGCTAAGCCCCCGAAGGTCCCAGCTAGGTTTCCGCCTCCTTCCCACCCCGCGCCCTCTCTCCCTTTCGTCCCTTCTTTTCTTAGTGTGGAACCAGCACACGAGATGTGCACAGGACAAGCGTGAGACCGAGGCCACAGTCAGCGCAACTGGCCAGCCGGTGCGTCCTTGTTCCACGCCGGGCGTGCCTGGAGTTCCTTCTTCTCGGCTGTGTGCACACAGCACCAGCCCTTCCAGGCCCCGGGGCCCAGAGCACAGGCCCGCTGCTTCCGGGCTGACGGTCCCGGGGCCCAGAGCCCTCTTCCGGGCAGGTCTCCAGTGCACCGGCCTGCTGGGCAGGGCTGCGGTGGCCACCCCGTGGCTGGGCTGGCGGGGCTCGCTCTCTGCTCCCCTGAACTGCGAGTGTGTCTCTCCCCCTCCACCTGCCAGGCCGTGGCCCCTAGCCTGCCTGGTGTTGGCCCCGTGGTTTCCTTGGAGTGCCCCTCAGCACGACTTGGTCCGTCTCCACGCAGTTCTTTGAGCGTTCCTCCGAGTCAACCCTGATGCCTAGTGACATGGAGCATCTTCCCGTATGTCCACTGGCCTCTTTGGGGCACTGTCTGTCCGGGGCCTTTGCCTGTTTTTAAGTTGGATTGTTTTTTAGGTGTTGAGTTGTAGAAGATCTTTATAAATTTTAGATAGTGAGCCCTCATCAGATGTGTCATTGGCAAATATTCAGTGGGCTGTCTTTTCCTTTTTTTAAATAAAGATTTTATTTACTTTTAGAGAGAGGAAAGGAAGAGAAACATCCATGTGTGGCTGCCTCTTGTGCACCTGATACCAGGGACCTGGCCCACAACCCAGACCCAGGCCCTGACTGGGAATCGAACCTGCGACCTTTAGGTTTGCAGGTTGGTGCTCAATTCACTGAGCCACACCAGCCAGGGCATCATTTTGTTTTTGATTTCCTTTGTTGTGCAAAACCTTTTTAGTTTGATGTAGTCCTGTTTGTTTTTTCTTTTGTTTCCATTACCCAAGGCAATATATCAGAAAAAATACTGCTGTAAGAAATATCCAAGATTTTACTATCTATGTTTTCTTCTAGGATTTTAAGTCTGTAGTCCATTCTGAGTTTACTCTTGTGCATGGTGTTAGAAGACAGTCTAGTTTCACGCTGTGCGGCATCTGTCCAGTTTCCCCAGCACCATTTACTGAAGAGACCGTCTTCACCCCGCTGTGTGTCCCTGCCGCCTTGGTCAAGTGTTAGTTGGCTGTGATGGTGTGGGTTTATTTCTGGGTTTCCTATCCTGTTCCATTGAGCTATATGTCTGTTTTTATGCCAAGACCGTACTGTTTTAATGACTATAGCCTTGTAGTACAGTTTAAAGCCTTGAAAAAATAAAATCGACATGAAGGACCCCACCGGGGGCCTGGGCCCCACACCAGCTCTTTTCTGGGAAGAGCAGAAGCGGCATGGGCCCCTCTCCCTCGCTCCCCCCCCCCCCCACCTCACCGCCAGCCAGCACCTCGCGGACAGCAGCCCTTCGGCCTGCAGCTCCCCTTCGGCCGTGGGGAGGGACGTCTTCTCCTCGCCATGTGGTTCCCTCTGAGCAATTCCGTGAGGTTCCTCACTGACAGCTCAGCTCGGTGTGGCCGAAAAACAACCCCCCCCAACCCATCCAGCTGCCAGCCAGCCTGACGGCGGTGACAGAGTACAGTTAAGGCCCAGAGTTGAGGGTGTGGCACCCGCGTGTCAGTCAGACCAAGGGAACAGCCCAGCACCAGGCAACCTGGATCAGACCGAAGGAAAACTCGGCACCTCTTCCCCACCAGCGGGAGGGCGGGCCCCTCGTCACAAGCGGGGTGCAGGGCTCGCCCCACATCTTAACCAACCCCACGAGTTCTTGAGAAAAATGGAATTCCTTACAACCCCAAATCCAGAAATCATGAAAGAGCTAACTCATAAATTCTACTCTATTAAGAAAACTTAGGGGGAAAAAAGAACACGGACCAAAAACCAGGAGCAGTGGTTACTCCAGTTTTCACCTCAATCATTCATTAAGCTTTTCAACTGTTCTGTGTGGTTCAGTAATGGAATGTATTTTATTTTACAATAAAATTCTTTTTTAAAAAACACCATAAACAAAGTGGAAAAACAAAGCAGGAAAGACTGTCTCCATCACTGAAGTCATGAACTGAGGGCCCATCCCCCCGGCACAGAAGTCGGCTCCTCGGGAACTGGGGCAAACCCCCACCGCCCGACAAGAAGACTAGGGGGGTCACGGCGCTCCCCGAACGGGGGAACAACCGGCTTTTCGACAAATCACGGAGGTTCACCTCCTGGGTACGGCGGGTTTTTAAAAACCCGGGAGTTCTCTTCCTAGAGGTCGTTTCAGAACCCAGGTCAGATCTGGTTCACTTTTCACTCACAGCCCGCCGAGGACGCCCCGTCTGTGCAGGCGTTTGTGTTTTATCCCTGTGGGCTCACTCCCCCCTCATCTGTTAGCCGCGACCCCCCCCATCGAATCAGTTCTGAGGACGAGTGAGCCCGAAGCACCGACCTGTCCCTCCGCCGCAGGCTGTGCAGCGCGTCACCAGGACCCATCCTGTGTGACTGGGCTCTGCTGCTCCCCAGCACAAACGGACCTGGCAGCCTGGACGCCCCCCCCCCCGTCCACCCCCCGCACGACACGGGTGTCCCAGAACGAGGACTGGGGTGGTACCACCGGAGGAGCGACTCTGAACGTCTTCAAACTTTTGTACCCGACCCAGTTAGACACGTGTGGCCAGAGGGACTTGGAGGCTGGCCGGGTGGGGTGGAGACGGCAGGGCAGGAAGGGCGGTGGAACCCGGGGCCTTCCTCCATGTCCACGGTCAGGCGGCCCCGAGCTCGAGCTGCTTGACCTTCTCCTGGAGCTCCCGGAGCCGGCTGTGCCCCCAGCTGATGTGGCTCTGAAGACTGGCCATCTCTGCAGCGAGTTGCAGGCCTAGGGAAGGGGCGAGATGGTCACCATGGTGTCTGCAGTGCGACACAGAACTCCAGGGACTCTGGGCACCCAGGGGACTGGGGAGGACCCCACCTCTCTGCTGCCCCTAAACCGTTCCAGGGTTGGCCCTGCAGCGCCCGCTCCGAACCTCGCCGGGCCTGCCCCACCCCTCCTCCTGGTCTTGGCTAAAACGCCGCCTCCTTAAAACACTTCCTCGACTCCCTGCTGGGGCATCGCCTACCCAGGAACTGAAAACCCACAGGCCGTCACGCGGTCTCATGCCCTCCCTCCTGTCTTCCCCGGTCACGGTCCCTCACTGCGCCCAGGCTCACTCCTCCCACCTGTTTTCTCACCCCCAACAGGATCCCACACTCTGGACCCGCCTCTTGGTGGTTTCCACCCGATGCCTCTGCTGGGAAGGCTGCTGCCCAGTCCTCTGGGCCTCCATGCCACCCAGTCCCAGGGCCAGTCCTGTCTGCAGCCTGCCTGTCCCACAGCGGTGCTGGCCGCGTGTCTGACCCACTCTGTCCAGGGAACACTTTCTCCTCTGGCTCCTGGGACACCTCCCCCTCTGGGCTTCTCTCCCAGTCTCCTGTAGTGCTTTCTCCCCTCCTCTCTCCCACTTCCGGTCCACCCTCCAGGCCCCCCGCTGGTCTCACCCCCCCTCAGCTTTACCGCCACATCTGCGCCAGCGCCTTGGGAGTTCAAACACCAGAGCTACACGGTGGCTCCCGACTCTCCCTGCCCAGCTCAGTTCTCTTCCAGACTCCGATGCGTGAGCCCGACTGCCCACTCAGACCCCACCGCACGCACTGGGGACGCAGCCACACGCTCCCCCCCCCCGCCCTCCCGCTGCTGCTCTGCAGTCCTCCCTCGCCAGGTGCGGGCCACACCGTCCTCCCAGGAGCCCCGGCTGGCCACCTTAGGCTCCGCCTTTGCTCCTTTCCTTCCCTTATTCCTGAATTGACCTGTCAGCAAATCCTGGGGGACGGAGTTCTACTCTCAAAACCCGCAGGTCCCACCACTTGCCCACTCCTCCACCTGCACCCTGAGCCCGGCTGCTCCTTGCCACCTGCTCAATCCCTCTGCTCTCATCTGGTCCCAGCCAGGATCCACAGGGTTCCGGTCACTCCCAGCTCTCCGCTTTCCTGGGCCCGGACCCCTGGGACCCCAGCTGCTGGCACTCTCCGTGGCACCAATGCCCCGGCAGCCCGCTGGCCTCCTCTCTGCCACGCCAGACGCAGCCTCGCCTCAGGGTGATCACCCCTGCTGGCCCTTCCGCCCCCCGGAACACTGTTCCCCAGGCCTCCACCAAGCTCCCTTCTTCAAGAGAACAAAATCAGCGCCCCTCACAAAACAGCTCCCTCCAGCCACCCTGTCTCACTCCACCCACCACCCTCCACCTTGTTTTTTTATAACAATTCTCGTTACTTATGCAGCTGCAGGCTGTCTTTCTCCCCCCACGCCACAACGTTCTCCGAGGCAGACCAGTCTCTTTCGTTTCCTGCCGTGTCCCCAGCACCTGTCCTGAGCCCAGAGCACTGCCAGCACCCAGCTCACGATTCCAGAAAATAAAAGCAGCCGTGCAACCCAAGTCTGCAGTGGAGAAAGCCCGCGATGCCCTCTGCAGACCGACCCCAACCCCCGCCTTCGCGGGCAAGCGCTCCCTGCAGGCGGAGGGCCCAGGGGTCCACTCACCCTCCCGGAAGCTGGCTTGGGCCTGCCGCAGGCTGTGAGGAACCAGGATCCCAAACCAGTTCAGAGGGTCTCGGGGGGCAGACGAGGGCTCTGGCTCTGGGGTCCTGGTGAAGCCCTTGCGCCTGCGCAGAGCTGGAGAAAGAAAAGGCAGAGGCTGGGGTTTTATTGCCTGGACCTCGTCTTCCAAGTGACAATGCGGAAGTCGGAGCTCGTGATCCTGGAAAATCCTGATGGCTGGGAACTCTCCCCCGCCTTTCCCGTCCCACGAGGCAGCTGACCACAAAGAGCCGCCGTTCCCACACTCGTGATGCAGACGCGAGTCTCCGTTCAGTTCCTGTGACTCTCATAACACCAACCAGACAGAGCCGCACGCCGACCTCTCCCGTTCTGCCAGAACGTGCCGAGAGGCCGGAGACCCCCACCTCCCCGTCCTTGGTCTCGTGAGTGAGTAGCTGAGTCGAAAGTCTGTCCCGCTGGAACTGGCTAGGCATGGGCATAAGCATTTTCTTTTCAACGGACTGAGACTTTCCCTGAGTGCGAAACAACCCCGCCCGTAAAAAGACTTCACCTGTAACTCGTCTACTTTTCCCTACAAAAGTCCAAGGCAAAATCACTCCGCCGAGACACTGGATCTTCCTTCCCGGGGTACTCTCTCTACCGCGACAGCCTGAGTAAAATAATCTCCGCGACTGTATTCTGGCCTTGACATCGGGAAGGGTCCCCGGAGGGAAGGGGGGCTCACCTGGCTCGCGGGGCCCCACGTCCTCCGGAGCCTGGGCCGCAGCCCTCACCACGCGGAACTTCTGCAGTCCGTCCGGCTCCTCGCTGCAGAACGAGAAGGGAGCGTGGATGTCTGACATCGCGGCCCGGACACCGCCGCCCCCGTCCCAGCGCACAAGGCTCCTCACCTGGTGCACACGCACACCTGGGGCTCCATGTGGGAGGCATACTGCAGGGGCCCCACCGACTTGGCGCCCATGGCGTAGCGAGCTTTGGACAGCGAGAGCCAGCCCTGCGCAGGAGAGGGGAGCGCTGAGGCTCGGCTTACCTGGCGTGCCCCCGCCCACCCTCCCGCGCGCCCCAGGTTCCTACCTCCTCCACCCGGGCGTTCAGCGCCGCCCGCTTCGCCTCCAGCTCCTCTAGGTCCGCGAGCAGCCGCAGGAGCAACGAGTCTAGCTCCGTCCGCACATCAGCCGCCGCCATGGCTCCACAGCACTCTGGTCTGGAGCCAGCCTCCTTCCCGTCGCCCAATCAGCGCCCACAGTGCCGCGGCTGTAGCCAATGGGCGTGCCATATCCGCCTTCAAGGGGGCGTTCCCAGGTAGCTTTCCGGTCGCCCAGTCTCCGCCCACCGTGCGGAGTTCCAGTCAAGGGGCGTTTCCCGCAGCGGGCGCGGTCGCCGCGGGGTCACGGCGTCCAGGGCCAGCTTCCTCAGATCAGTCGTGTTTTGGGACTGAGGAGCCGCGTTCTGCGCTCAGCACCCGAAGCGGGCCGGCCAGCCGGAACATCGGCGAGAGCTGTGGGTGGTTCGAAGTCGCTCCTGAAGCAGCCGCATTTTAAAAGTAGGGCTGTTGCTGCGGCAGTGGAAGGAGGCATAGCGACCATTTTAAGCGAAAAGCGGCTTTATATTGAGTTCCAGAAGGAGCCCGTAGGTGACCCTACGGTCAACCATTGTGCAGTTTTTATAGTTGCATTATTTCGAGCCGCCAATTACGATTTTATTCGTACATCATTTTAAAATTGGGCTTCCTGCAGAGCGGCGACAAATGGTGAAGCCAAGAGCGGACATCTTTATTGATGGCAGCCCTCACAACATTGGGATACTCCTTTCGTCTATTGGTTGCTCTAGGAGCAGGCGCTTCCGGACTGGCCAATCGTCTCGCGACTTCCATCCGCTGTCCGCCATCTTACCTTTGGTCATGCTCAACCACAGCGGTGTTTAGTGAAGCCTCTAGTCGCCTTCTTGGTTGAGGGCGGAAGCGAGGACTGCGTAGCGCGGGCGGTGGCCGCACAGTTCTATACCCACGTGGTAGCGGCGCTCAGGATGGTAGGGAGGTTTGAGCTCCAGTTTGGGAGGTTGGGGGCTCGCGGAGGTCTGGGGGTGGGTTCCCTGGGCTCGGGGTCGGTGGTCCCCGGGGTTCGGGCGCGCGTGGCGAGGGGGGCTGACCGGCCTCACTGTCCCGCAGCTTCGCCGTGAGGCCCGCCTGCGCCGCGAGTACCTGTACCGCAAAGCCCGCGAGGAGGCGCAGCGCGTGGCCCAGGAGAAGAAGGAGAAGGTGCGGCGCGCGCTCGAAGGTACAGCCCCCGCCGCCCAGGCTTTAGAAAGACCGTGGGTTGGGTTTTAAAGCCCAGCGGAAGTCAAGACCCGGTGGTATGGAACGCGTGCCCTTGGCATATCTCTGGTGGTGCGGTTGGGCACCTTTTCAGATACTTTCCCATTTTCCTTGCCTGTTGCGTGTTCCTGTTGGCTCCCAAGTGCCCCTCCGTAGGATGGTGTAAATCACTTGTCATTTGCGTTGCAGTACCCAGATTTCACAGCTTGCCCGTCAGTTTTGTTAGTAGCGTGCCCAGCTCTGATTTACAGTTTTGGCCATGGTCTTAATAACCTGTTTCCATTCTCCGACCGCTTGTGGTTTTTCCTCTTGCTCTCTTCTGTAGCACGAGGTAATAAGCCTGTCTCACTGTCCTTCTGCGGTACTCCGAGTCCCTTGCATTTTTAAAGTGTTGATCTGTGTAGAGCCTAATTTTGTTGGCTGTTGTAAGCGAGGAGTTCACAATGTTTTTCTCCCTCTCCGTTCGCCTTGCCTGTGAAGAGTCTGCCCCACACGCCTGATCGGAAGCGACGGTTTTCGGTCCCGTGGTGCTCTTGTGTTCCTGAAGCTTTGCTTCTTATCTGAGGGTGCGTAAGCTCCCCCGTTATTTTAACTTCTTTCTGACGTTCCTAGGTGTCAGGTACACAAAGTGTCAGTGGTTATGTGTGTGTTTATGCTCATCTTAGTGGGAACAGCTGTGACCTCTCTGCCCATCTTAGACAGGAAGCGGTCGGGTGCTGGCGGGGGGCGTAGTTGGTTGAAGCATCGTTCCCGCGCATCGGAAGGTTGCACATTCTGTCCCCAGTCGGGACACAGGTGGTCTGCAGCTGACGGATGTGCCCGTCCGTCTCTCTCAAAAATCAGTGAACGTGTTCTCAGTGAGAATTAAAGGAAGAAAGAGAAAAGGGTCAGCATGCTGGGGTGGGCAGAAGTACGTTTGCAGTTCACATGGAGAAAGACATGCAGGTGGTTATTACAGAAGGATAATGCAAAGGAACGTCTCAGTGCAGCCGTAAACCCCCTTTCGCCTGCTCTTGTGATTGAAACTCAGGAATGTTTTCCACAACTTAGGTAACTACGGTACTGAACATTGTTTAAAAATAACCTGTTTCCTTGTTTTTCTTTGTGCTCGTACAGTTCTTATTTTATCCCTGAATCAAACTGGTCAGTTTGCAGTTTTAAGGTGCATCAGGCTGTGCGCGTTCTTTGGCCGCTTTACGTTCTCGTTCGGCATCGTTTCTGAAACCTGTTGAGTGCAGTGGCGGTTTCCTGCGGGTGCGGGTCGTCCACGTGCACGAGGGCACACTCGGCAGTGCTGGGTGCAGGGCTCGTGTTCTGCTCTGTGCTCCCGACCTGGCCCATCCCACGGCCCGCCCTCCGCCAGGTCGCCCTTCAGTCCACAGCGGGAGCCTCTTACCCGGAGCGTCGAGATGCGCTGTTTTGTGGTCAGAGGGTTTGGGGATTTCAGGTCCACCTTTGTATGGAAAGAGCAGTCTTAAGCCTTCAAGCTGTGAAACGCGAAACCGGAGACAATTAAGCTTCCTGTAACCATTGCTAACAGATTAGTAAGTAGGCAGAAATGGTCCCCCACCTCCCACCCCCTAATAATTACAGACCACCTGCCTGCTCTGAGAGGAGGATGAAAGGCGTTTTCCTGTGCAGGCCCGTCAGCCGCAGCGTGGTGCCGCCCGAGGGCTCCCTGCACGCGGCTCAGTCGCCCTGTCTCTCCCCGCAGAGAACCGTCTGATCCCCACGGAGCTGCGCAGGGAGGCCCTGGCCTTGCAGGGCTCCCTGGAGTTCGACGACGCTGGCGGTGAAGGTAACCCTCCTGGCCGCTCAGGGCCACCCTTCTTCTCCCTGCATGCCAGCTCGCTGCGCTGCCCCCCCCCCCCCCGCCTTCCCCTGACACCCTAGGAAAGGCTCTGCCGCTGCACCCCCACAACTGTCCCCCAGCAGTCCTCGTGGCTCGGTGCCGTGGGGGCGTCCTGAGTGCTCCCGGTTCCGTGGAGGCATGATGCACGTGCCGTGACCCAGCCTGCCCTCTGCTTTGCTTTGTTAATTGTTCCCTCGCTGGATGTGAGTGCTGCTGGGACAGGACAGTGTCCGTCGTGGTCACTGGTGGTCCCCTGGCTCTCCGCACTTCAGTGGCACCAAGTGTTTAAGGAATCACAAACGCCGTAAATGTTTGTCATGAGAGAGGAGTCTGGTACCTTTGGCCTTAATACAGTCGGGGTTGGACGCCGACACAAGAGCTTCTAGCCCTGTGTGACGGGTACAGCTTAAGTGACCGAAGTCAAGTCAAATTAAACCATTAAACTTAGTTGCACTTGCACTTGTGGCCTCTGGCTCGGGCCACCCTGCAGCCACGTGGGGTGGGCGCTCTGCCGTCGAGGGTGTTGTCGGGTGGTGCTGCTGCTCTGGGTGGGCTTGGGCGTGCCCAGTCAGTGCTTCACTTCCCTGGGTGATGTCACGTCCTTGTCCCTCGTGCTGCTGACAGGTGTGACCAGCCACGTGGATGATGAGTATCGTTGGGCAGGGGTTGAGGATCCCAAGGTCATGATCACTACTTCCCGAGACCCCAGTTCCCGCCTCAAGATGTTTGCAAAGGTACCAGTGGCGGGGAATGGAAGGTGCTCGGGTGGCAGCAGCCCGAGCCCTGACCGGTGTGGTTGCCTCCGCAGGAGCTGAAGCTGGTGTTTCCCGGCGCCCAGCGCATGAACCGCGGCCGACACGAGGTGGGGGCGCTGGTGCGAGCCTGCAAAGCCAACGGGGTCACGGACCTGCTGGTCGTCCATGAGCACCGAGGCACTCCCGGTGAGGCTGGTGGGGGGGAGCAGCCCTTGCTCGGGGGGCCATCTCAGAGCGGACGTGGTCTCTGATGGCCCGCCCGGCCCCCCAGTGGGGCTCATTGTCAGCCACCTGCCCTTCGGCCCCACCGCGTACTTCACGCTGTGCAACGTGGTCATGCGGCACGACGTCCCCGACCTGGGCACCATGTCGGAAGCCAAGCCCCACCTCATCATGCACGGCCTTTCCTCCCGCCTGGGCAAGCGCGTGAGTCTGGGAGCACGGGACTCGGGCTGGGGCCAGGGGGTGCCAGGCGGGGGGGCATTACCTGTTCTCCTTCCCTCTGCACCAGGTCTCCGACATACTTCGTTACCTGTTCCCTGTGCCCAAAGATGACAGCCACCGGGTCATCACCTTCGCCAACCAGGACGACTACATCTCCTTCCGGTGTGTTTGGGGGCTGGCCCTGGGTTGCATCCTGACTCTTGTGTCTCTGGACTGTCTGCGGTTGACCCACAGTTGCCTCCTCCTGCCCTCCCCCAGGCACCACGTGTACAGGAAGACCGGCCACCGAGACGTGGAGCTGACTGAGGTCGGGCCCCGCTTTGAGCTGAAGTGTGAGTCTGGGGCTTTGTCCCAGTGCTGGCGGGGGGAGGGGGCATGCTGGCTGTGGGTGACAGCGTCCCCATTCCCCCGTCCCCTCTCCAGTGTACATGATCCGCCTTGGCACTCTGGGGCAGGAGGCCACCGCAGACGTGGAGTGGCGCTGGCACCCCTACACCAACACCGCACGCAAGAGGGTCTTCCTGAGCACAGAGTGAGGCCCGGGCAGCCGCGACTGCTGTGGGCTGTGGGCTCAGGCCAGCAGGCAGGGCAGGTCCCAATAAAGTCTGCCACGCTGCCCCCTTTGCCTCCGAGTGGTTCGGACAAGGCTGCTGTTGGGGGAGTTGTGAGGGATGTTATGCACAGGGGCCTGACAGCTCGGGACACTCGGGCCTGGTGTTGACACTGCCCAGGGCAGCCCAGGCCCACTGTGCTGGCTTGCTCCGGAGCTGTTGGGTGGGGGGCAGCCCGGGGCCTGTGGGGGAGCTCATCGTCTGGGGGTGCTCCCCAGGGTTGCTCGCATCTCCCCAGAGCTGGCCCCTCTGCGTGCCAGCTCGCAGGCACACTTCCACTCGCCACGGACACGGGGACCCTTTAGGGACTCCCCACACCCTTGTTGATTTGGCCCTTCCTGGGCCCACTTGCCTAGCACGTGCCCAGGGCCCTGGCTTCGCACGTGGGGGTCATGACCCTGCTCTGCATAATGCACACACGCTGATGGGGAAGTGATGGCAGGTGAGGTGAGGACAGGACTCATAAGACAGAGGTGGGATGGGGTGGGGAGGGAGAGGCCTCTGCAGGAGCCCCAGCTGGTACGTGGGGCAGCACCACACCATTCAGGGGGAGCAAGGGGTAGGACCTCGCCGGATGGCCCTGACTTCAGGCCCCGGTCCTGGGAGGCCGGTGAGCTGCTTCAGGGCCTTCCGGGACCTCGCCCACCTTCCCGCAGCCTCACCGCGGGGAAGAACGTGCCGTTAAAACTTGTGCAAGTCAGGGAGATTCCAAAATGCATCCGAAAGCAACTGGTGGGTGTTTCTCCCCCTCTTTCTCTCTCTAAAAAAAAAATGAAATCTTTCAATAAAAAGAAGCAAGATGCAAACCACCTTTATTCACTGTCTTGTGGCCTCCGCTCTTCAAAAAGGCACCTGAGTACTTCATTCTTTCCAGGGGCCTCGGAGAACCCCCACACGAGGAGCTCCCGCGCTGGGCTCCACGGGCCCTGGCTTCGCAGCTGCCGACGGTGCCCTTTGGGATCCAGGAGAAATTCCTAACGGGTGCATGCACAAGTAGAGAAGCAACCGATACTTCTCTTCCTTCCGCGCGGCGCCGCTGGCGTCTCCAGGGGTCTTGGGAAGCGGCTGTTTCCCAATCGCGCCCGTTGTCGCTCACAGATAACCAGAAAAACCACAGCAGTTTAAGAAGCAAAATAGTGGGGGCCAGCGCCAGTGGACAGTAGTGCGGAACTTTCAACACGCTGCGCGGAGCACTCAACAAACAGGGCAGAAAACACTTGGGAAGTGGTGTGTTGCACTACTGACGGCGGGTAGTGCAGCTAGGAACAAACACGTTTCTTCAAGCCCACCCCCCAAAGCGAGATTAGTCGCAAGGCCCCAAGAACTCTGCCGCGAGTAGGTTTACACCCACGCTCTGCCTAGCTAAGCCGTTCTGCTCTTTCAACCACGGAAAGCCAGGGGAGAGCGCGAACGCAGTCCCCCACTACCACAAATTATGCAGTCGAGTTTCCCACATTTGGGGGAAATCGCAGGGGTCAGCACATCCGGAGTGCAATGGATAAGCCTCGCCCTGGGAAAACCACCTTCGTGATCATGGTATCTCCCCTGCCAGGTAAGTATGAGTTGGGTTTCCCGCCTCCACCGGACCCTCACGCTCGCCTCACTTTACACGCACGGCCACTGTTCGCGCGCCGCCGCCGCACCTCCCCGCCCGAGCGTCCCGAGCTCTAACTTCGCCCACCGCAAAAACGGCCTCGGGGCGTTTGGATCCGGGACGCGGGGGGGGGGCGCGGACGCCGTAGGACCGGCAGCCTCTGCGCGCCCGCTCATCTGCATACGCCGCGCGCCCCGCCCATTCTGACGTCCGGCGCCCAGTCTTCCGTTCCGAACCCAGCGGCCAGGCGCAGGTGGCGCCCGGCACGCAGCAGCACGCAGCGCTCTTGGGCCCCGGCGAGGTTGGAGGTCAGGGCTCCGGCGTGGCCTCGCCTTCTTTCCGGCCAAAGAAAATCCCCTCCCGCTTTTGTCCTCGCCGGCTCAGCTCCTCACGTGACCGAAAGCTCAGGAAAAGGCCCTTTTGCAGGCTGACGTTAGTGCGGAGCCGCTTGATCAGAAGTGGTGGGCCTGTCTATTCCTGCGGTCTCTCTGAGCCAAAGTCACGCTACGGGCTGCGGAATGCGTGGCAGCCTGACCTAGTGACGCCCACGAAAACCCAGGGGGGCAAAGTTTTGTAGAAAGAAAACAGGGTCGGGAGCCCTCCCGCCTCTTCCGCGAGCGCTGCCGGCCCCAAAGTGCTCCCCAACCACCCCCCCCCCCCCACCCCCCGGTCCTCTGACTCGGCCAGACTCTCTCCAAGGTGAACGCAGCAGACAGGGGTGAGAGTGATGGCACAGGTGTGGCGCAGTAACTGCCGACAGAGGGGAGAAAGCTGGGCTCCGGCTGTGCAGCGGTGATGGCGGCGTTTGAGAGGGAGAAGGGGGCGCTCCGTGGAGTCAGAGAAGCGAAAAGCCGCCGCCGAGGGTCGGTCAGCGTCCCAGCGGCCAGGCCAGCCGTGTGTGTGTGAGCACGCAGTGTGAAGTTAGGAGGCCGGGGGGCCGCCCGGCCCTTCCCGGCTCCGTTTCAAAGGCATACGCATCCCTAGGAAAGGGGCGTCAGGCGCTGACCTCTCTCGGGCGGGCATTTAATGGGAGCCGGAGGTCGTGCCTAGGGACAGGACCCTGACGCTGCCACGAGTCACGCCGGGGTCTGCTCACGTCTCTGGGGACAGGGAGCGGCTTGGGTGGGTGGTTCTCTGCTGGGAGCTCTGTGGTTGCCGACTCGAGGAATCCTGTCTTGTGATCAAACCGGACGGCTGCGCCGCCGCCCCCTACCCCGCCCCCCCCAACACACACCCCCGGCGAACCCTGGTCCCTGGCCCCTTCCTTTGTGTTCTCTCCTCTGTGATGACCTGGAGCGTTTCTCCACTCAGCAATGGTGCACGCCCGTGCCAGACGCCGCTCAGGGACTGGGGAACAAAAGCCCTCCTAGCGCTTACGGCAGGAGGAGTGGGGCGGGAGAAAATTGACGGCGGACGCAATAGGTAACTTAATTAGTACGTTAGGCGTTAGGAGCCGGGGGAGGGCCGGAGGAAGAGAAAGAACAGGAGGGAAAGGGGGACCGGGACGTGCAGCAGCGGGCAGAGGGGTGTGCTGAACCGGGCGGTCGGAAGAGGCCAAAGCCAGGAGGCGCCGAAGGAGCCAAGACCTGCCCGAGGGGAGGGGGTCGGTCCCGGGTGCCTGGGGGAAGGGCGTCCTCGGCGCGACCAGCAGGAGGAGCAAAGCCCAGGTTGGGCTGCGATCGTGTCCGGGTCGGGGCCAGGTCGCGCGCGCCTTGCAGACCATTGCAAAGCTGTAAATCTGAGCGAGCCAGCAGGTTTTGAGCCGAGGAATGGCTTGAGCTGACTCCCCGCCCCCACCCCGGAAACCCGCTCCGGCCACCAGGGTGGCGAGGAACGCCGCAGATCAATAAGAGACTTAAGGTTGGCTTACGTGTTTTTGGCACAAGGATAATTTGGAACTAAAGGTACTAAAAATCCAGGAGGTGGCCAGGCCGTTCGCCGACGCCTATCCGGTGCCAGTGGTCCTCCCCCTCCCGCCCCCGGCAGCGGGTGTGCCAGCGCCCCTCCCCTCCCTACCCGCTTCCTGGCCGCAGGTCACTGTCGTCCCCCCCCATCTCCCCCCGCCCCGTCCCCTCCCCGTAGAAAGGGGCGCAAGGAGGGGAAATTAGGCAACAGGTGAGGCCTGACCACGCGTCCTGAAACATCATCGTGGCGGGGCGGAGCCATCGCCTAGCCGCAGTCCTCCGCCCGCAAAGGGGGCGGGGGCGAGTGCCCGGCCGGCTTCAAAGGGGGCCGCGGGACACCTCAGGGCTCGTTCTGCTTCTGGGCGCCAGTGTCTCGGCGTCCCCTGAGCTCAAGGAATAGTCCAGACCCGGGCTTGGCGGCGTGCGCCCTTCGATAGCTCAGCTGGTAGAGCGGAGGACTGTAGGCCACGTGCACGCTGACATCCTTAGGTCGCTGGTTCGAGTCCGGCTCGAAGGAGGTGCCTGGTGCTTTTTGCGCCCGCCCCCCCCCCCCGCCCACCTGGCACCCAGGCCGGTCTTAGGGCCTGAAGGGCAGGACCTTGAGGCCCAACCCGAGAGAGCACCCAGGAACTAAGGGGCTGGGCCCTCACCCAACCCTTACGGGAAGAGGGGGCCATGCCAGGGCTCAGAGGGATGTGTGCTGGTGACCAAAACCCACTCCTCCCCTCACATCATTCTCCCGAAGAACCCAAGACCGGTTCCCAGGGTCCCACACCTCCACCTCCCTCGGGGGCCAAAGCCAATGATGGGCCACGGTTCTGTCTTTGGTCCCGGTCCGCGGGTATCCGCTGGTGGGGACACTAGAGGCTGGGGGTTCTCTGTAGCTGCACAGCAATAGAATCTTCCCGGAGGCCCCTGGTCAGAGTGCCGTGGTCCGGCCTCCTCGGAACCCGCGGGGACCACAGTACCCGGGCTGCTTGTCCTCACAGTGCGACAGTAGGGGGCGCTGGACTGCAGGGGGAGACCGCGAGCGCCCTCCGCGGGGAAAGGGGACTTGGGGACACGCAGCTTCCAGGCTGAATCAGGACCGAAAAGTGACTGTGGCTTCACGGGTCAGGGCAGGGCACCCTGGGGTTCAGAAAGTCACCCTCCCATGCTGTTCCCCTGCCAGTCCCCCATGGGATGAGCTCCCCTCACCACCACCACCGCATGAGCTTCGAATCTCCAGGGTCTGCTTAACCGGGAGGGAAAAGAGCAGGGACCCTCCCTGGACTCCTTCTCTGTGTCTGCGCTCTCGCCTCCACCCAGCTTTGTCCCACAGTGAAGACGGCTCCTTCTCTTTCTTTTCCTTTTTAAAAAATAATTCTTGTCTTAAAAAATGTTATTGATTGGTTTCGGAGACAGAGAGAAACAGACCTGAATTTGTTGTCCCGCTAGTTCTTGCACTCATTGGATGAAGCTCACTTGTACCATGAGTGGGGTTTGAACCCCCTGGTCGAGCATAGGACCGCTGCTCTAACCAGCTGAGCAAACCGGCCAGGTCCAGGTTCCTTCTGGGTGAGGACCCAGCCCCTTAGTTCCTGGGTGCTCTCTCGGGTTGGGCCTCAAGGTCCTGCCCTTCAGGCCCTAAGACCGGCCTGGGTGCCAGGTGGGCGGGGGGGGGGGGCGGGCGCAAAAAGCACCAGGCACCTCCTTCGAGCCGGACTCGAACCAGCGACCTAAGGATGTCAGCGTGCACGTGGCCTACAGTCCTCCGCTCTACCAGCTGAGCTATCGAAGGGCGCACGCCGCCAAGCCCGGGTCTGGACTATTCCTTGAGCTCGGGGACGCCGAGACACTGGCGCCCAGAAGCAGAACGAGCCCTGAGGTGTCCCGCGGCCCCTTTGAAGCCGGCCGGGCACTCGCCCCCGCCCCCTTTGCGGGCGGAGGACTGCGGCTAGGCGATGGCTCCGCCCCGCCACGATGATGTTTCAGGACGCGTGGTCAGGCCTCACCTGTTGCCTAATTTCCCCTCCTTGCGCCCCTTTCTACGGGGAGGGGACGGGGCGGGGGAGATGGGGGGACGACAGTGACCTGCGGCCAGGAAGCGGGTAGGGAGGGGAGGGGCGCTGGCACACCCGCTGCCGGGGGCGGGAGGGGGAGGACCACTGGCACCGGATAGGCGTCGGCGAACGGCCTGGCCACCTCCTGGATTTTTAGTACCTTTAGTTCCAAATTATCCTTGTGCCAAAAACACGTAAGCCAACCTTAAGTCTCTTATTGATCTGCGGCGTTCCTCGCCACCCTGGTGGCCGGAGCGGGTTTCCGG